GTTTATATATTAAATATATTTATATATAATATAAAATATAAGAATATAAATATATGAATGTATATACATGCAAATATTTTCAAAATATATACTGTATGGGTGTATGTATTTATATAGACATAATAAATATACACAGTACACACACATATATTATGTAAACAAAAACTTTGATTTTGGATGCGATTAATCGCGATTAATCGTTTGACAGCACTATTGACAATACAATCACATAATCGTTTAATCAAAACAACAACAAAAAAACACCAATGCTGTGGTTAACTATGAAGCAGAAATGTTAGCCGTATGTTGAGTAACACCTGGTAGTTTGTATATGTAGAGAAATCAATCAGTCTATTTTTTAGAGTCAGAACAGCTGAATATCTTGCAGTGCAGATAGGCGAGTTTCTCGGCATAAGAGCGTTGCAGCAAGGGAAACCCTTCCCAATGAGGCAACTCTACGACTCTGTATCCAGCCAGCGCCAATTGTCTCCTTTTGAGTGCATGTAATCCAAGCAACTGCTCAGTCCTGTCGCAATAGTGGATCCTATGTGTCACTTGAACAGCAAGTCTCTGAATCGATGGTTTAGAATCGTCCAGGTGAGACGAATGCTTTCGGGATTTGGTCAGCGCCATCAGAAGATCGTCTGTCAAGTCAATACCCACATTGAAAATACTTTCTCTCTCATGGACCGGTTCGACGGTGTAAATCTCTGGATTTTGGAAGAACTGGTTAGATGGCTGCACTGGAGTCTTTCGTGTATCAGTTAGTTGAGCTAGTAGGTCGTCAGTTATGGTGACTCCAGAGAGCCTTGCATTCAAGTTTTGAGAGGCGAGATTTTGTTGGCAATGTCCGGAGGATACAGGAACAGGCTGGTCATTTCGGTCTAAGTGCACTTCCAGATCAATCGAGCGCAAGAATCATGTGTTTGCGCACAAACATCTCTCCACCCAGAAGATTCCGCAACACATCTTCAGCCTCGAGCACCTCGGGCTTCTGGCAGATATCCGATTGAGTGAAATCCCACAGCTGTTTGGTCACTTCTTCCCGAATTGCAAGACTAAGTCTTGGGACTGTCGACTTGGGCAACTCCAAGCCTACAGGTGAATAAGTCTTTCTTCAGCTCAAGCTCTTTGGAATTACAAGCCTTGTTGACAAACTCTGCGCTTAAAGCCAGACTGAGCAGGTCTTCGGGGAATAGTCCGGCAAAAGCAAGTCCGAGCAGAGCGGTCAACAGATGTTCGGGGTATCGTTGAAACTCAGCTTGGCGTTCTCATAAGATCGCAGTGAGACACAGATAAAGGTTGGGACATTGGACTCCTAAAGTCCCAAAGGAGTAAGGACTCAAGGGGTTGAACCAGGTGTATCCGGACATCTCCTGCCTTCTCCGATTATGTACAAGAGTTGAACCAACTCTGGAACACCCATCTGGTTGAAGTTTCGGCTCACGCTGTCAAAGAGCATCTCGAGGTACTTAGGAACAACTTGACCAAGGCATCGCCACAAGTCGGCCGTGAGCAGCAACTGGTGAAGCTCAGTCTCGCCGACAGAACTCAGTTTCGTACAATCCCAGAATGCTATGGGATTGAGGCAAGCCTAAGTTCACGAAGGCCCTCAGCGCATCCAATAACTGCGGCGTCGTGAAGCTTTGCAGGATCTCCACGTTGTACCGCAGGAGTGTGTTGAATCTTGTCGCCCCTTACGACCGCGGCCTGTTCTTGGGGAATCTGACCAAGTTTGGACAAGAAATTGGTTACTTCTGAAGGTTCCATGTTGTCTTTTTGTACCGTGACTTTATGAAGAACTAACAAGGCTTCATTGAGGTCTACAGTAGACGAGCGTTGGGATGGGTCATGGGTCATGTTGCGGTATTCAGACCGACATCTCTGAAAGGCTTGTGGGTCGCTGTTGTTGTTTGGCTCTTTGGTGGCGTTTGGGGTTGGAACGGATGTTGCTCGGTTGTTTAACAGCGTGTTCTTGGTGCTGGAGAGCCATCTTGA